GAGGATACTAATGTATATATTTTGTCTGTCTTGTGAATAGTATAACAATATTTTATGTCACTTTAGCCACACACTCGTCTGAATGTAGAATTTGGGAAGAAATCTTTCAGCTGATTTCAAATATACTGTTTTCTTAATCTTGGTGTAATCAGCCTTTCTAGAATTTTAAAACCTGGAGTTTACCTTCTGCCTGTCAGAAAACTGAAAGTAAAGCTCACAGTTTGTTAAAGCTTCTTTCTTGAATCCCCCATAGATCTCCTCTAAGGTGGACTGTCTGAAGAACAAATTGATTTCAGCTGTCAGCTTCCAGCTGCAGAAGCTCAGGTGGGAGGAGAAGAGAAACAGCAAGCCCATCGATGAGTGGACACACATGGCTTCTGCTGTGGCTGGAACACTTGAAGCCGTCATATCTGCTGCGTTTTCTCGGGTATGTTGTTTTAAATAAAGATTAGTTAAAACCAGCAACAGCATTTATTTATTTATTTGTTTGTTTGTTTGTTTGTTTGTTTGTTTGTTTGTTTGTCAAACTGTGTTATGAAGTATAACACACTCAAATCTTATTAGACGTTTCTTTACTGTGGCAGCTGTAGGTTGCTGTAGGGCTGCACCTAATGATTATTTTGATTGATTAGTTGATGAATCTGTCGTTTATTTTGTCAATTAATCAATTAGTTGATTATTCACTGTAATTTCTGTTACGAGGTCTATCTTTGTTTACTCTGAGCGCATTCCTGTTCCAACTGCACTGCACATCTCATCTCACATGATCAAACTTAAAAAATGAACCATAAAACTTAACTTTAATCGCTTAATCACATGTATTACTAACATTAGTACACCTGATTGTAAAAAAATTAAATACAAATTAAACTGCAAGTCGTCTTTTAAACAAACAGCTAATGTACCTCTTTACAGCATGAGGGGCTGTTAATCTGCCCTGCAGGGTGCAGACGTAGCTTTGCAAGTCCAAAATAAACTAAAGAATAACTTTGGTTAAGGTGGCATTAATGAGACCAATTTTTGAGGTGGTCTTGGTGCGCTTCCAAACAAACTCTGGTGCGGTTCGCTTCGGGTGTGAATACATACCGCCTCAAATCGAACCAGCATTAATAGTACATAACAGTGATAGGCAGCACTAATTGAACAGTTAGTTGCGCAAATTCTAAAGCGCTAGTAAATTTACGTAGGTTCGCAAGTTCTAAAGTGCAAATGCTCAAGGAAACTACATTTGTCAGATTAAAGTTATTTTTAAAAATCTAAATCTTAAGCACAAATTTGTCTTAAAATTCACTGAAATATATTCTGGTGATAACGAGCCATTCTTGTGTAAAACTGCCTACTAGAGGCATGACGAATTGCTCTCAGAACGGTACATGCCGTCACAGTTTGAGGAAGTGATTTGTTGAAACAGACTTTTGGCTCATGATGTAAAAAAATAGTAGTTGTAGATTGCTAGTTCTGCTGCTTCTTGGCCATTTTCTCATGTTTATGGTAGGGCTTTGATAAGAAAGCATGAACATATTAGTAGTTTATTGGAGAACTGAAGCATTGCATTCTGGGTACAGGACGGAGAATAGGAAACYGTTTTCACTTCAAAATAAGAACATGAATTTAAACTGTTCTCTATATGTGTGTAGCTTCAATATGAGAGTGGATTGGTGGCTGAAGATGCAGCGGGCCATAAATTATAATTCCTCCCTCTACCCTCCCAAAGCTCATATACTTATATAAACAACAGTAATGATGGCTGGATTTTGTTTGTTTTTCACTCAACGATCAGTGTTGTTGGGTGAAGAGTTTGCCAAGGGAAAAATATTTTTTCAGTTTAGCATGTGACCTCAAAACAATGGGCCTCCCAACACTGTTGGCCCCTATGCTTCAGCTCAGATGAGCCCATGCATTTAGTCGGCCCAGGCTGTGCCATGTACACACGTGGACACGATTGTTGGTACCCCTTGTTTAATGAAAGAAAAACTCACAATGTTCACAAAAATAACTTTAATCTGACAAAAGTAATAAATAAAAATCCCATGAAAATGAACAAAGGAAAGTCAGACATTGCTTTTCAACCAGAATTAAATAAATAAATAAAACTCATGAAACAAGTCTGGACAGAAATGATGGAACCATTTCCATCCATTTTCTTCTGCTTGGGTTGTGGCATGCCCACCATAAAAAGTGTTGGTGGTAAACCGCTTTCCCCCCCTGAGACACCGGATGGTGGACCAGAATCGCTTCAAAGCCGTATGGAAGTCTTTTTCTATGGCCTYTCCTAACTCCTTGCATGCCCAAGTTTTTGCCTCAGCGACCACCCGAGCTACAATACTCTTGGACTGCCGGTACCCAAGTAGTGTTCAGTTGACAGCTCCGACCCTCTCTTCCTCTCTTCACCTCATCATGTGGTGGCAGATCAGATGAAACGACAACAAAGTCGATCATCGAAACGCGGCCTAAGGTGTCCTCATGCCAAGAGCACATATGAACACCATACTTGTACATGGTGTTCGTTATGGACAKTTTATGACGAGCACAGAAGTCCAATAACAAACACTGCTTGGGTTCAGATCGGTAGGGGGTGTTCCTCCTAACCACACACCTCTAGGTCCAACTGTCATTGCCCACGTGAGAGTTGAAGTCCCACAGTGGGTCAAGGGAGTCCCCATTAGGAGCATCCCTGTCCCAGGTGGGCGGAGGGAGGCTATCCTCTCGTTCACCAGGGTGAACCCCAACGTACAGGCACCAAGATGGGGGGCAATAAGTATGCCCACTCCTGCTCGACGCCTCTCAGCATTGGCAACTCCAGAGTGATCGATTGTCCGACCCCTCTCCAGGAGACTGGTTCCAGAGCCAGAGCGGTGCATCGAGATGAGTCCAGCTAAATTTAGTCGGAACTTCTCAACCTCATACACCAGCTCAGGCTCCTTCCCCACCAGAGAGGTGACATTCCATGTCCCCTAGAGCCAGCTTCTGTAGCCAAGGATCGGACCGCCAAGGTCCTCGCCATTGACCACTGCCTATCACACATAGCACCCAACCCTTTTGGCCCCTCCCACAGGTGGTGAGCCCATGGGAAGGGGGACCCACGTCTCCTCTTCGGGCTGTGCCCAACCGGGCTCTATGGGTGAAAGCCCGGCCACTAGGCGCTCACCAACGTGCCCCACCTCCAGGCCTGGCTCCAGAGTGGGGCCCCAGTGACCCATGTCCAGGTGAGGGAACACTAAGTTCATTTGCGGCGCTCAACATGAGGGGTCTTTCAGCTGCACTTTGTCTGATCCCTTGCCTAGGTCCTGTTTGCCTTGGGTGACCCCATAGCTCTTAGGATCATTGGGACACTCAAACCTCTCCACCACGGTAAGGTGGCAGCCCAGGGAGAAGAGAGAAATTATGGTTCCTTTAACTTTTATTTTGTTCCACAACCTTTAGAGGCAATCACTGCAATCAAATGATTCCTGTAACTGTCAATGAGACTTGTGCACCTCTCAGCAGGTATTTGGGCCCACTCCTCATGGGCAAACTGCTCCAGTTGTCTCAGGTTTGAAGATTGCCTTTTCCAGATGGTATGTTTCAGCTCCTTCCAAAGATGCTCAATAGAATTTAGGTCAGATCTCATAGAAGGTCACTTCAGAATAGTCCAGTGTTTTCCTGTTAGCCATGCTTAGGTGTTTTTGGCCATTATCCTGTTGCAACTGCAAGACCCATGACCTGCGACTGAGACCAAGCTTTCCGACATAGGGCAGCACATTTCTCTCTAGAATGCTTTGATAGTCTTGAGATTTCATTGTACCCTGCACAGATTCAAGACAGCCTGTGCCATATAGCAGTGCAGCCCCAGAACATAACAGAGCCTCCTTCATGTTTCACAGTAGGGACTGTGTTGCTTTTTAACAGCATTTTATTTTAATATTATAATGGATGTGGTAAAGTTTTAGGACATTTTTAGTTACTTGTAACTTCAGTAAGTTRAAGACTTATTTTGAAGAATCAATGTTGTGTCAGCAATATTTCCTGTGGYACACTTCCTGTTGGGTAGCAGAGCCTCCTTTTTGTTTCACAGTAGGGAACGTGTACTTTTCTTGAAAGCTTAAATTTTCCATCTGTGAACATAGAGCTGATGTGCCTTGCCAAAAAGTTCCATTTTTGTCTCACCTGTCAATGGGGACATTCTCCCAGAAGCTTTTATGGCTTGTCAACATGTAGTTTGGCAAATTCCAGTCAGGCCTTTTTATGATTTGTTGTCGTCCTTGGTCGTCTCCCATTAAGTCTACTTTGGCTCAAATAACAACGGATGGTGCGATCTGAGACTGATGTAAGTCGGGCCCATTTCCAGTGAGAGTTGGACTCCACCAAGGAGGAAGACCCAGGACATGCTGGAGGGACTATGTTTCTCAGCTGTCCTGGGAATGCCTTGGGAATCCTCTGAGGAGCTGGCCCAAGTGGCTGGGGTGAGAGAAGTCTGGGTCTCTCTGCTTAGGCTGCTGCCCCGGCGACCCGATCCTGGATAAGTGGAAGAAAACAGATAGATGTCACCACTTGGTCTAGTTAGATCTAGTGCGATATATGTTGAATTTTTTTATTTACATTCTTATTTTTCTATTTCACTTGTGGTGTTCAAGGTGATAAATTTCAAATTAGAAGTTGATGTTTGTTTCTTTAATTCAATTTCTTTTAATTAATATAGTCTTCATCATCTCCCTTCGCTTTTTTCTGTTCCTCAGATGCTGATTGTATCATCCACAGAACCATGCACTCTGAGAAACTGTGACCCCTTTCCAGTYCCCAGACCACTCACCAAGCCCAATCCAACTGTTTGGACAATCCCTTTAAGACGGATGCTTCCTGTTCCAGTCGAAGGTATGAATCTGTAGCTGCTTTCATAGCTGAAACATTATGCAAGACAGATAAATATACTGTGTATATTATTATGGGCTACAATCACACTCCAGGGAAATCCGACCCAAATACAAAATTTTTTGCCTGTTTTACTCATCTGAATTTTTCCTGACAGTTTGAATGAAATATTTTTCAATATTTGATATGAAATCAGATACATATCACATGTTTTTCAGTGCAACTGCAGTCTGAATGCTCATGTCATATTTCATCAGACTTTTTGAGTGATCAACCTAAGTATTTAGAATATTGATACCAATCTTGTGCTGTTTAAACTCTGCACGTCTTCAGCTACAGAACAGAAGTTCTGTTGCTTTGTCTTTTTTTTACTTTTTATTTTCCTTGTCCTGGATGACACAGAAATATATGGTAGTAACGTCGGTCTCAGACTGTATCGATACTAAAGTTACTAGATCAATGACTGGATCAGCATGGCTTACTGTACAGCATGTCCCTTACATTCCAAAAATAAAATGCTACACAAGAGCAGCCGGTCAGAGGCAAGTTAAAATGTAAACAGTGAACAATAAACAAGCATGTCATATGATTTTTAATCTGTTCTGGATGCACAACAGCATCAAAATGAACAAGAAGCATCCATAGGCTAATTCTGTAAACAGCGAGCTGAATGTGACGTCACTTCGTTTTCTGGGCAAAGCGGTCGCATCAGTTCTTCAGGGCACTGTAAGGGTTGCAATTCAGAGAAGTAGGACGGGAAGGACAGTGGAGGACTTTAAAGCAAATTTATTCAGCCAAGAAAGTGCCTGCTCTGAAGCAGAAGGCAAAAAAAGACCCAATAAGTTTAGTTATAAGATAAATAGATATATACTTTATTGTCCCCAAGGGGAAACTTGTCTTGGACATCGTATGCCAAAGAAAACTGCTTCAAAATACAACAATAAAAAGTCATATGAACATCACAAAAACTTAAAAACACATATTGCAATCAATTTAACAGCTGTAAGCAAATTGTTCTTTAACAGCTGTGAGCAAAGTGTTCTAAGGACTGTGGACTAGTCCCTAATTAAACCTCAAAGCTCTGATAAATTGCTAATGTTTTTTTTAGTGAGGTACAGGAACTTTAAATTTATCACATTTTTTTCCAGGTAAAGTTCCTGGCACTGTCCCTTGTCCTGTGTCTCTCAAGACTCCATCACCAACCATGGACCCAGCCAGAAGATTTTCTGCACCATATCAAGTGGTTAGAGTGCCAAACTCCCCTCAGACTCCTTCAGTGGGTCTGAGATTAGCTACAGCACAGGTTAGACCTGGTGGTAGTTCTCCAGTAGCAGCTGTAGCTGTGAAAGAAGGCAGATCTGAAACCTTCTTCCTGCCTCCTAGTCCTCAGACATCTCTCAGCCCCAGGCCCATCCCAACCACACCACCACAATCTTTTTCAATACTCTCCAGATGTTCCTCCACCCCTCCCACCGTTCCATCCTTAGCCACTATTCCTGCATTGCACACCGGGTTTGAACAAAGTAGCAAACACAAAACAGAAGACAGAACAATCAAAGACCAATGTGTGGTAGACTTTGAGAAGATCTACAACTTCCTGAGTGCTTTCCAAAACCACAGTGAGGATTTTCATCTTACACCAATGGGTGAGTCACAGGTTAACTGTTTGGGCTCAGTGTGGTTTGTACAGACATTATAAACATACTCTTCACAGCATCTTTTTTTTTTCAAATAGTTTTGCATTTGCCAAAGATCAACTACTGAGGATATATATATATATATATATATATATATAATTTATGCACATGTCTGTAAACCTTTTGTTTTTAGGAGGAACAGACCATGCAATCTCCTTTTACACAACTGTAGAGGTCAGCTATTTGTGTCCAAAAAGAAAATATTTGATGTTACGCTGGTTTTAAAAAATGTTACTCAAAACATACCAAGAAAAAATAATGGTTTCTTGTTTTTCCCCCCTTGATTCTTTATATAATTATTTTATAACATTTTGGGGCGGCTCTGGTTCAGTGGTAGGGTAGCCAACTTGGGACCAGAAAGTCTCCCCACCATGCCCACATGTCGTGGTGTCCTTGAGCAAGACACCCAACTGCTCCTCGGGCGCTTACTGCTTCCTGCTTTTCCACTTGGGTGATTCTCAAATGTGATGGGTCAAATGCAGAGAACAAATTTCATCATTGTATGGGAACATGTACTGATGACAAAGTGCACTTACAGTTTACATTTGCATAATAATAATAATAATAATAATAATATATTATTGTTATTATTATTGTATTTAATATAATCATAATTAAGTAATTTATATTATTGAGGCAGGAAAGGTTGTAATTGCAGTGTTTTAAATTAGGGATGCACCGAAATAAAAATTTCTGCCGATATCGATATCCGATATAATTATTGCTATTACGGCCGATAACCGATATTTACAGACATTACACAACCACACAAATTATATTATACATATACGCACAAGCACACTTGGATCTTTTCTTGATACCGTAAATAAACGACCAGACCTCTGACATGGCTCTACTTCAGTTATTCCTGGCTACGCAGCGTCCTTATAACTATCATGATCAAACAGTTGCCGCTCAACCAACCATCTCCCCTCCAAAAACACAAACACAAAGATAAAAAGTGGGAAATCAATATCGGATGTTATCGGGCCAGTTTTACATATCGGACCGATACGATATTCTAAAAAAATGACAAATATCGGCCGATACCGATATGAATGCCGATATATCATGCATCCCTAATTTAAATGACAGTAAGTGTTCATGCAGTGAAATGCATCATGTGTGGCAATTTTAAAAACTCTTAGTTTTTTTTACTATGAAACTGTGATACCCCTCCCTGGTCTGCCTGCAACCTTATTGGGGTGGAGGGCTTTGAGTGTTTCAAATGATTCAAGGAGCTATGTTGTCAGGGCCTTYGTGCCCTGATGTGGGTCACCGGGGGCCGGGCCCCACTCTGGAGCCAGGCCTGGAGGTGGGGCATGGTGAGGAGCACCTGTTGGCTGGGCTTTCACTCATAGACTCCAGCCAGGCACAGCCCGAAGAGGAGATGTGGGTCCCCCTTCATATGAGCTCACCACCTGTGGGAGGGGCCAAAGGGGTCGGGTGCAATGTGTAATGGGCAGTAGTCGAAGGTGGTGTCCTTGGCGGTCTGATCCTACAGAAACTGGCTTTAGGGATGTGGAATGTAACCTCTCTGGTTGGGAAGGAACCTGGGGCCTCATGTAACAACAGTACGTACGCACAAAAACCTT